ATGCCAGGCAGCATGCTCGCGTCTTTATCATTTGCGAAACTCAAAACATGAAACACAGTTCTGGAATAGCACAGCATAGTACACGCAGAGGTACTCAACGTAGAGATACACATTCTGTTTAAAATGTTTTCTTAAAAACATAACAAAAAGAGAATTGAAGTCTCATTCTACCTATCCAAAGTCCAGAGACAGATACACTTCAGAGATTAACTTGTGTGCTTGCAGTCCACATTTTCCTGTTTTACTATAGCTGTTATGCATCCGTGCTGTGTTTCTAATGTTTACACATTATTTTTAAAAGAATTATTTCACAACTGCTTTTTTCTTACTCAGTATAATGTGTTTGAGATCTATCCTGATTGATACATGTGGTTCTAACTCATTCAATTTAATAGCTAATCATTCTCAAAGAAGGTGATGATAAGAAGGAAAAAATAAAATATTAGCTAGATGGTGTGCTATTACTGCACCACCATTTGTTGACCCATTCTCACATCAATGAACATTTGGGGTTGCTATTTCCCTCTTTCCCTTTATAATTTTTAAAAATATTTTTCATTAAAAATGATAATGCAGAAAAATGACTTCCATAATGGCAGCATGATGAGCACCACAGAATCTCTTCCTAGTAAAAACCCATAGTTGATAAAAATTACTTATAGAACCCCAGCCATTTATATCTCTGACAATTATTCCAAAGACATAAAGTTAGTGAAGACAATTTCTTCAAGAAAAATCTACCAGACATTGGGAGAAACAGCAAAAGTCTGTGGCCTTTTAGCAATAACCACTCCCTCTCCCAGTCCCCAGCTCAGTGTGACAGAAGATCAGTTCTAGATAGGTGTGGCCAAGGACACTTTTTTGGCTCCCAGTTGAAGACCAGTATCTCCTTGAGAAGGAAAGGCTGGAAGCATTCCTCATACCTTCCCCCCAAAACTCCATGCTGCAGAAACTCCATTCTAGGCAAGATAGATTGAGAGATCCAGGGATATTCTCCTCTATCCATCCCCTTCTTGGAGGACAGAAACATTACCCCTGGACAGCAGGCTGAGAACACTGGGCCGGGGTTGCACCCCACCTTTCATATGGCATAGATACAGGATAGAGGGTAGAGGAAAGAGGTTAGTCACAAAGACTAGAGACTGATGCCCCAAACAATAGGGATTTGGTGGTAAGCAATTAAAAGGAGGCCTATAGCTCCAACAGAAAAATAAGCTACATCATAGGCCAGCTAGAGGTCTACAAGGGGCAATCAGGGAGAGAGACAGCTAAGGAGAGCCTTCCTGTGACCAGAACAAATCTGCAAGACTGGCTTCAAAGACTGTTCCTGAGAAGCTCAAATTGAATTGGATCAGTTTGTGAACCAATTTATTCCCCAGGCATGGATGAAAACAATAGAGCAATTGGGTGGTAGTTATTGGAGACTAAGAACTGAGTGTAATATCTGCAGAGGCAGGCAGCTTAATAAAGAACAAGAAAAAGACAAAGAGAGCCCTGCTAAAACCAATGTTATCCTACTGTGACTATATGCACACTGGAATCTGTGTCCTCAGAGACCTAATGTCAGAGACGTTACACTTTAGGGGAATTAGGCCAGCCCAGTGAGTAAACAAATAAAAGTACAAACAGGAAGAATCCCAGGGGGACAGGGACAAATCATTAATTAGAATTGCTATATTATCTAAAATGTATAATTTATAAGACAAAATTAGAAGTCATACAAAGAAACAGGAAAGTGTGATCCAAACCTAGTCAATAAAGCAGGCAAGTGAACCTGCCAGTGAGAAAGCCCAGGTGTCAAACATAGCAAAGACTATAAAGCAACTTAATTAAAAATATGCCCAAAGAACTAAATAAAAGTGTGGGAAAGGAAGCAAAGGAAGATACAATCACAATGTCGCATCAAATAGAGAGTATCAATAAAGAGATAGAAATTATAAAAAAAAAAAACCATGAAATTTTGGAGTTGAAAAGTAAAATAACTGAACTCTTAAAAATTAGTAGAGGGATCAATAGTAGATGTAAACTAGAAGAGGTAAGAATAAAAAAACTTGAAGATAGCTTGATAGACATTTTGCAATCTAAAAAAGAGAGAGTAAAAAGGATGAAGAATAATGAAGAGGACTTCAGAAAAATATGGGACACCATTAAATACAGTATACGTGTAATCAGAGTACCATAGAAGATGACAGAGAGAAAGAAAAACTTGCAAGGTGCATGAGTAAAATAGTTTATTCAATAAAGGGAACCACAATAAGATTACCAGCTGACTTGTAATCAGAGGTATCAATGGAGGTCTTTGCCTGTGCTTCCTAGAATCTCCGGGGTACCAAGAATCAGTGCCACACCAAGGCCTGGAACTTCAAACAGGCAAGAGACTGGGTGAGGCCAACAGTGGTGAGCTCTCTCAGTAGGACACTGCATGGCCCCTCATGATGTAACAAGGGTGCAGCCAGCTTGGGACCATCTTGGATGCCAACAATAGGATTGCCTGGGGAGGATAATTGGCCAGAAGAGGCACTGAACTTGCAGATGTCCAGGAGTGGGAGGGGTATATTAAGCTAAGGGCTCTGCATATTGATGGCCCTGGCCCTGTTAGATCACCTGAGTGGGAGGATGAGGTGGGTGGTGGTGAAGTGTGGAGCACATGGTACAGAGAGACAAGGTATTTGAACCCCTGCCCACCCTGCCTGGAAACCTTCCAGTTCTGAAATTGGGTGGGGAAGGGGGAGCTAATCAGCTAGTATGGAGTTCTATAAATTGTGTCCTTATTGGGTTGTAAACTGTAGCGACCAAAAGGACTCTTCTTAAGAATAAATGTGAGCATAGGAACATTTGTTATGAAAGAATAACCTAAAAAGTGATGGACCCTGCCTGGAATTTCATCCAGAGTCAGAAAGATAGTGCAGAGAGTGTGTTGTGGTGTGTGGGGCTGGGAATAGAACCACTTTTGCCTTGCACCCCCTTAAATCCATTGCTGTCAATCTGTGACACAGACAGGATTCCATGGCTTCCAATTTTATCCTCATCACCACATAGTGACATTTCTGCTGTCATACCTCTGTTTTAGAGGAAGACAACAGAGACTTTGCAGGTTTAAATGTCTTGCTCTCTAAATCACAGTAAGGAGTTGAGCACTCACAAATCCAGATGACCCTGACCACTCACCATTGCCCCCCTTCCTTTCTGCTGGCTTAGCAAAAAGCTGGCTCAGTAGGCTTCAGGGAGCTCAAGGGGAGAACAGCTTGGCACCAGGGGTGTCTGGAGTTTCCTGTTCTAAGCAAGCTGCTTCCTCACCCAGGGAGTTGTCCCTGCTACTTATCCACCTAGCCAGCCCCCACCCCCTGTCTATAAATATGTGTGACACTGTGAGGAAGGCCCCTCTCCTCAACCTCTCCCTGGTACATGCAATCCCAGTGGGGCACACTTCCATAACACGTCAGGATATCATGGTTGTTCTGCTCTTTTCTGCCATAATTCTCTCGTCCTCCAACCCAATTGTAAATTTATCCTCCAGCCCGTATGTGTCTGTTTCTCTTTGAAGAAGAGTGGTAGGCAGGAGATTCACAGTCTGGATTGCCATTTAGAAAAATCCATACCTAGTCCATGATGCCACAGATCATGTTATATTGCCTGCACATCCTGTTTCAGGCACTGATACAAAAAGAGTTAAGGGGGCCTAGAGCCTTCAAAATAGATGGAGAAGTAAGAGAGTTACAAAAGTGTGTGTAACAAAATCTTCATGTCATACTTGGACAGGAAATGGGCTCAGATTTTAGACTTTCCAAAAAGTTTTAAAAGAAAAAGAGATATTTTATATGGCCAGGAAAATCAATTATAGGTCATGTATTGCCCAGGTTTCTGGCTAATTGTGCTCAAACCCTATTTGGCCCTAGATCCCATTGCATCTCTTAGGTCAGGATGAGTCCCAGTGATTTTACATTTAATCCCCTAGAAATGGGTGAGTACCTGCCCATTCAGGATCATGGACAATGCATAGCAGAGCAGGGAAGGAATTTAGAGATGACTTCGACAAATCCTTCATTTTACACATGAGGAAACTGAGACACATGGTGTATTTTGATCAATTTCTGTTTGAGTCTCCTACTTGGGCGATCTTACTGGGGAAACAAAATGGAAGACAAGGCCCTGGAAGTTTATGAAGCTAAGGCCTGATTTGATTGGTTTTATTCTCTGACTATCACCTGGCCTGTTTTCTAGAGATGGAATTTTCCAGTGGGTTACAAAAAAGTGCACATGCATGGGGCTGTCACTCCTATTCTTGCTATCACCAGGCAAGGACCAAAGCCTCCTCAAACACATTAAAAACCCAACCATTTCTTCCAGACACATTTTTCTCTTGGCTCTCTCAGCCAGCTTAGGCTGGCTCCAGCCAAATATTCTACCCCCATCCTTTTCTCTGTTTCTCATCCTCACAGTGCCAACTTCATTGGCCTTTCTCTGAATCCCAAGAAACAGGAAGGATATGCACCATGGCTCATGGCATGTTGTGTGCTTTAGGCTTCTGAAATTACATAGGTCTAACCAGTTTGCTATGGTTTGAGTGTTTGTCCCCTCTATAGGGTACTTTGAAAGTTGGTTCCCAATGCTGCTGTGTTGAGAGGTGTGACCTAATGAAAGGTGACTTGGTCAGGAGGGTCAAGGTCTCACAAAGGGATTAACGTCATTACTGTGGTACTAGCTTAGTTATTAAGGAAATGGACTGCTATAGAGTGCCCAGCACCTCATGCTTTCTCTATTTGGTAGGTGTTTTCTTGCCGTTCTTTTTTTCTACCATATTATGACACAGTACAAAAGCCCTTGCAAGAAGCTCCAACCATGCTATTGGACTTCCTAGACTCCAGAACCCTGAGCAAATAAATTTTTCTGTTTAATGTATCCAGTCTCAGATATTGGGTTATAGCAACAGAAAACAGACTAAGACACCACTTTAGGAAAAACAGAGATCCTTTTGTAAGGATTAGCCTAGTTTCCTAGGGTTTTTTTTTTTTTTTTCATTTTTCTGCATTGGCATTGTGTCAAAGCTCCATGGAATATCACTGTTACCTGGCCTTTTCTTGTATGGGCATTGTCTCCTCTCAGCAGCCAAACACAGAGAGGTTGAACAGGTATGTGACATTTCTGATTCCCTGTTATAAAGTACTCTCCCAGGACCCACCAAAAGCTTGCAATCTAGTTGTAAGAAAAGATCACACCTACCACATAGTTAAATCCAATGTGAAACAGAGAATCAATATCTGATGGAAGATTTAAGGTAAAGAGTACTTTTAAGGATGGGAAGTATTTCTACATTTGTCCCCCAAACCTGCTTCCCAGGTTCATGGAGGACACACTCTACTTGGCCCTGGATCTAAGGCCAAAATAGTGGTTCCTTATGTCATCCATAGAAACTGCTTCAACAACACTTGATTTCTCTGTCAATAGGGAACAATACCTGCCCTGCTAGCTTCTCAGAGAACCACTCTGAGACCTGAAGAAAATAAAAACCATGGGAGCAAATGAGACAGCCTTTAGGGTGGTGCACCTCTGTGGCTGCTCCCATGGCCCACTTTTAAATTCTATTGACTATTTTGCTCCACTTTGATTGGATCTATCAACAGGCATAAAGCATACACGTCTAAAAATGGAATCAGGATGGAGGCACATTACTGCTGTAACTTCTGTGATGTGCTTTATGGTTTATAAATCACTTAAAGGCCACTATTTCCTTAGAACCTCACAAGAACTTTCTTTACTGAAGGAATCATTATCCTCTTTTCATCGCCTGGATGAAAAGGTAAATTGTTCAGCACTTAAATGACTTTCCCAAGGCTTATTTGGAGAAGAAAGCAGAGCTCAGATTTGGATATAGTTTCCCCTGAGTTTTATTCCTCTGATCTTTCCTCAGGGTCACTTTTGTTTTGTCTATGTTCATTTGGGCAGTGACCAGTGTCTTCAGAACACATGCCACTTCTTCTTCCTTCCTTCCTTCCTTCCTTCCCCCTTCCGTTCCCTGCCACGTCACGCCCGAGGAACAGCACAGAGGCGGTGCTTGACTGGGGAGACGGTGATGCCCATTCTGCACTTCAGGCTCAACTTCTCATTTTCTGGGGGCCTGAAGGTAAATTTTTGCATGAGGGAAGTGAAGAAAATGAACAGCTCTGACTTGGCCAACTGTTCTCCAAGGCATGCCCGCTTTCCTGAAAGACAAAATCAAAACATGAGTTGTTCTCCCAGGTGGCACTGGTGCCTAGCAGGGATTGGGATCCTCAGCCACAACCTGTAAATCCTAAGCCAAGGAAGGGCTTTATGGGCAGCCGTTAAGTCGGACCACCACTTGGGTTCACCCAGGCACAGGAAGCAGAAGTCCTGAATCACAAAGTCAGATGCCATCGGAGGTCAGGCAGGTGAGGTTGCAGGATGAAGGTGCAAGGAGTGCGATCATAGAACTGGAAGGCTGGGCTGACCTACAGAGTGGGTGTCTAGCCTAAGGGTGTTAAAACTTAACAAACAACAAATGCAGACAATGAAACAATAATAAATCTCTGTGTTAATGTTTTCCCATCTTTAAAAGGAAACCGTCCAAATTATAATTAACTATCAGAGGAAGGTTTCTAAGGTACAAGTTACCTTTCCCTTATGCCACATTCTCCTCAATTATGGAGACCTCGCTGGCATGGATGGGCTCTCTACTGGAACCACTTCTGCCTCCCTCCTTGTGCAGTCCTTGTGATACACGGTCCTGCCCACACACAAGCCTTTGCTGCTAAACTGGTGCCCGAGGCTGGGTCCTGCTCCCCACAGCTCACACTTGGCACTGCCCTGGTCCCGTCCCACTCCCTGTTATGTGTGGGTGAACTGGAGTCAGAAGGACAGAGGTCCAATTCTATTCCTTCCACGTTGTAGCCATGTGATTGGGGCAAATTAAGCAACCTTTCTAGTCATTAGTGAAAATGTCTATGTGTTTATGATGAGAATTTTACTGTGTATGTTGTGAGGGATACAAAATTAATCCAGAAGGATCAAATAATTTAACAATCTATACACAAAACAAAGTTTTTTAAAAATGTCACCTGGATAATAGTAAACATTGCAGCTGTATAGTAGCTTATCATTACCTTCATCTGATTAATTTCTAAAAAACAGAAGAATACAATTTAAAGGATGCCCTTTGGCTAGGTGTGGTGGCTCACCCCTATAATCCCAGCACTTTGGGAGGCTGAGGTGGGAAGATCACTTCAGACTGGGGTTCAAGGCCAGCCTGAGCAATATAGTGAGACCTCGTCTCAGCACAAAGTAGAATAAATTCGCTGGACATGGTGGTGCATGCTTGCAGTCTCAGTTGTTTGAGAGGCTGAAGGTGGTCCTGAGCCACTTGTCATATACATGAAATACCCTCTCTCCTATGCTACCTGGCTGGGCAAGGATCCCAGTGAGATAGCAGGTATGAATTTGCTTTTAGAAGAATGAAAACCAGGACCATTAGATTTCAAATCTTTGGCCTGGGGATACTTGGACCCTGTCTGTGGATGGTCAGTAAATATTTCTCAAACTAAGGAATAAGGAAATTATTTGAAATAATCCATGCAACATATTGCCTCGATACCTGTAATATACTAAACATTTTTGCTATTGATTTTACAATGTTATGAGTTAAAAATACACTTTTGAAATTGGCTAGCTTAAAAACTGGAGAGAAAGTGTTTTCACTACATCATGTTTGCTACCTTCCAGGTCATCTATCATACAAATATATGAACTAGATTTTAAAGTTAAAACAAAAAAATCACAAGGACATCTTCAGGCAGTGCTTACAGAGCGGAACCCAATCCAGTTAAGCCAGTGGTGGTCAGAGTCTGACTGATACGCACAGGGTGGATAAGTAACCCTGTTCCCCGGACCCTCCTTCTCTCCTTATTGTAGATCAGCTCTGTTTCTATGTGAATGGGCATCCCTTAAAAGAACTTGCGACATTTGAAAACTCAATAAAGATGGCAGATGTTCCCCTCTTTGAGAGGGAGAGGTGGGGTCAGAGTGTCTGTCCCCGTGATCTGGAGGACATTAAAGGGAAACCGACATCTTCCACAGAGGCAGGAAGGGTGTGGGAAGGAAGGGCGGGCTGAGCACTGCCCAGCCAGGGGTTCCTGGTGCACCAACCAACAGGGAGATGGAATGGCGCTGGGCAGGGCCATCTGGACACATTCGAGCTAAAGCAAGGGACTACAGGGAGAAGAGCAGGGGAGGCTGAGAGAGGGATTCTAGACTCCTGCATGCCTGTTTATTGCAACTCACCTATTGAGAAAGGCAGAAAAGATTCGCTTTTCTTAAACTGTCCATTTTCCAGAAAATGCTCGGGATTGAACGCGTCCGGGGTGGCCCACTCTGTGGGGTCCCTGTGCAGCGCAGTCAAGTTGGTCATGATCATAGTCCCCTAGAGAAGGCAGAAAGATTCAGGCTGGGCTTGACCCAAGCAGCACACCCACACAGAGGCTGAGTGGTCCTCAGACTTCCATGGAAGGTCCTGAGCCACCTTCTCATCCCACCCACAGTCTGCTGAGTCTGCCTCCCCCAGTACCGTCATCTTTGCATGGAACACCTTATAAATTGCACTGGATTTTCCTGCTGGAAATTTTACCACAAAATTTTGGCTACATTTGAGTGAAGAATGGATCTTTCCTACTGGGACATATCGGTGTGGGTCTTGGGAGGGGTCGTGTATGCATGGATGGGAGAACAATGCGACATCCGCTCCGTCCACATTGTACCATGAACCGGTCATAAAGTACTAACTATGGCAGCTCCACACGGGTAAAGGATGTGTCCTTCACTGTGTTTCTCCTATTCTCTTCCCTCTAACATCTGTACCCTGCCCCCACTCCCCATAGCAGGTCCAATGTCAGCACCAGGCAGCCCAGTGATGGGAGCCCTCTCCAGCCAGGCACGTACTAGCTAAGCCAGGAAACCCCAGGGTGAGCCTCTCTCTCACTCTGCCTTCATCCAATCCATCAGTGAGACTGGTCCGTTTTACTTTCAGTTTTTCTTGATTCTGTCACCTGCATTCCATGCCCACCACCACCTTAGTCTAGGCTGCCACTTCCCTGTAATAGCCCCTAGCTGTGCCCACATCCTATTGTCCCTTTCAATCTACTCCACGCCCTGAAAGCAGAGTGAGCCTCGAGCATGATCTAGTGACATCAGCCACAGGCTCAGCCCTCACACTCGAGACCCTTCAGCACCTTCCCATCACTCTCAGGGTGAAGCCCCATTACCTGGCCCTGTCTGGGCCACTCTGCCCCTGCCTGTGCTCCCTCTATGGTGGCCTCCTGTCAGCTTCTCAAACACATCACATGCTCTCTGATTTCAATGTCCTTTAAATGCTATTTGCCTCTCCAGGAAGTTCTTTCTCCCCACTTGGTCTTTAACCTAAATAACTTTTAATCATCGTTTAATCCTCAGCTCAAACCTCACTTCCTTCCGGAAGCCTTCCCTGAGCACTCCTGCCAGTGTGGACCTGTATAGAACCCAGTGAGTTCTTTCCTGTGGGCAGTTAGCATGGTTGTAAGGATGTAGTTGCATGATTGTTTTGCTCAGGGTTCTTACTCCAGATCTGAGCATTTCAGGTACCTAGTGAATATTTGTTCAATTAATAAAGAATAATAACTGCCATTTTGAGCTCTTTCGGTACCAAGCACTGGGTTAAATGCTCTACGTGCATGACTTCATTTTAACTCTGGATCCCATGAGGTAGGTTTAAACACATTTTGCAGACCAAGAAATTGAAGCTCTGAGAGGTTAAATGTCATCCCCAGAGTTCCACAGTGGAGAGGGTGGAGCTATGACTTGAACTAGGTCAATTTGATGTCAAATTCATGTAACATACAGTTAATTAGATTTCTCTGTTCCTAGGAGGGTTGGTAAATCTGATGTTAAAAATCAGTGTAGAAGTCTGTTGAGCTGGGCTGGTTCCCTGGAGTTAAATGAATTACTAGAAAAATGCAAACAGCACCTGGGGAATTTAGACCTCAGCCTTTATCCAAAAGACAGTCAATCAATAAGGAAATAGTAAAGGGACAGTTAGCAAGGAGAATCCAATAGGCAAGCTCTTTTGGTTCTACCTCTTGAGATCTTCCCTGAGTATGACATACTTGGAGGGACTTGGAGAGACTGGAGTAGAGCCACAGAGGCTGGCCAAGGTGGAGAGGAAGCAAGAGCAGGAACTGTAAGGGTGCAGTGTGGGGAGAGGACACCAGGGGGCGAAAGAGAGCTGTCTGCAGGGATCATAGGAGTGGCTGGTGTAGTGAGATCATAGTCCCTTTTTGAGGACAGGGCATTTCACAGGGACCAATTGAGAACATTGCAGGGAGATGCCTTTAATTTCAAAGAAAAGCAACTCCCATGGAGGAAGCATGGGGTAGTACAAAAGATCAGACTAGATCCCTAAATCTCACCACTTTGTTGATAAGAGATCTCATGCAAACTTATTTTATCTGGGCTATGACTTCCCAATCCACAAAACAGAAATAACAGAGTTATTCTGAGAACTTAGTAAAACATTTTGAAAGATGCTAGATCCATGACACAGAATCAAATATTCACTCCTTTCTCTCCTTTCTAATACTTAATTCTGCACACACCTGGATTGGCTTCCTCCTGAGATACGAAAGCTAGAAAAATACCTGTGGGGCTAGTATGTTAGAAACACCAGCACGAATGTGATCTCGGCCCAGCTGGTGTCAAATAGCCTTTCACATTCTCACATTCTATAACCCCAGGACCGTGAAGCAGAATTTTTCACAGTCTGGCCAGGTCCCTAGTCCTGCGAGATGCTCTACCAAGGCAAAGCAAAGGCACCTGTGGCAGAGTCTGCCCTAGAACTGCTGCCTGCTGTGCCCACAGACACAACTCGGTCAGCATAGTGAACATGCTGAGAGCCCCACAGCAAAGGAAAGCCGGTCTTTGCCTAAACACGTTTGGGCTAGAATCCTCCCCCTCCCCTCCCCACAATAGCACTTAGTATCTAGTGAAACTAACATTCTAAAGGCCACACATGGAGGAAAATCTAGTATTATATCAGCTGTAACACAGCGTTCTCCCCATTCACACGACTCCTCAGGACAAGAACACATGTCACTTCTCAAGTTCCTATTTCCAGCATCTCGTAGAGTGGCTTGGAGAGCTGAGGCTGGGAGTGCCTGCTTACCTTGGGCAGGTGGTACCCAGCCAAGGTGGTATCGGCTGTCACTTCCCGGGGCACGTTCAGGGGGACGATGTTGCCCATCCTCTGCACCTCGTGGATGACGGCATTGGTGTAGGGCATGGAGTTCCGGGCGGCCACACTGGGCTGCTGCTCCTGGCCAATCACTGTGTCAATCTCAGCGTGTACTTTCTCTGGAAGAGAAGTTCCATTATTTTTTAAACTTTCATGCTTTCATCTAGAGGTGTAGGAGTGGTCTCTAAGATCTCATTTGTTGTATTTCTTTCTCTCTCTTTTTTGTTTTTTGTGAGACAGAGTTTCACTCTGTTGCCTGGGTAGAGTGTTGTGGCATCAGCCTAACTCACAGCAACCTCAAACTCCTGGGCTCAAGCAATCCTTCTGCCTTAGCCTTCTAAGTAGCTGGGACTACAGGAATATGCTACCATGCCTGGCTACTTTTCTCTAGATATTTTTAGTTGGCCAATTAATTTCTTTCTTTTTTTGGTAGCGATGGGGTCTCACTCTTGCTCAGGCTGGTTTCAAACCCCTGACCTTGAGCCATCCTCCCTCCTCAGCCTCCCAGAGTGCTAGGATTACAGGTGTGAGCCACTGTGCCTGGCCCCTCATCTATTGTATTTCAGTGAGTGAGCAGATTGTAAAGTAATAAAAGGATTCTTAACCCTTCAAACTGCTTTTTTAGAAAACTGCCAATTCCATAACACTCTTTGAGCTGGGCTCAGCTAAAGAATGGAATAACCAGGATCAATATGCTTGTAGAAGGATCTTGTCTTTGTGTATTCAGGGTGCTGGAATGCAATACCATTACCTGGGTGGCTTATAAACAACAAGAATTTATTTTTCACAGTTACGGAGCCTGGGATGTACAAGATCAAGGCACCAGCAGATTTGGTGTCTGGCGAAGCCCCACTTTATGGCATATAAATGGTATCTTCTCACTACCTCCTCACATGGTGGAAAGGGAAGGCAGCTCCCTAGGATTTCTTTTATAAGGATGTTAATGCATAGATGAGCTAATCACCTCCCAAAGGTTCCCACCTTCCAATACCATGACACTGGGAGTTAGGCCAAAATATGAATTTGGGGGAAAGGGCACCAATACTCAGATCATAGCAGAAGTAGAGACTGTAATTTCTCAAGGAGGTATATAAGAGTGGAACGTGGACCTTGGTGTATGACCAAGAAGGTTACAAACTCTTTTATACAACTACTGCCACAAGTTACTTAAACACTTTGAACCTCAGTTTTCCCATCTGATTAATGGGGCTCAATTTACCTGCATCACAAAGATATTTTGGTATTCATAAACTGATTTAGGTGAGTACCCAGAAAATGATAGAAACTGGTGGCTGTCGCCCAATATCATTTTTTTCTTTTTCTAAAGATTTTCCCTAGATATTTTGTTGTGCAGATAAAGTGTACATTTCCCAGATTTCCTTGTGACTATGTGTGACCATGGGACTCAGCTTTGGACAACAGAATGTAAGCAAAAGTGATGATTAATCGTTGGAATAAGCCCTTAAAGCAAGGGTCTGTGTTTCCCTGTTTTTTCCCTTCCTAGGGTGGAAAGGCAGCCCTAGTGGGAGCATGTTAAAGACAGCCAGCAAGGAAATCACTCTAGACCCAACAGCAACAAGTGGGAAAGAGTTGAAACCTGAAGTGCTTTGCAAAGTCCAGATTAGAGCTTTTTACCCAAGAAAGAAATAAACTTCTATCATTTGTTTTTACTGTCAATTATTTAATATGTTTTTTAATTAGGGTAAAATACCCATAACATAAAATTTACCATCTTAGCAATTTTTAAGTGTATAGTTGAGTACTGTTAAGTATATTCACATTGTTGTGCAATCGCTCTCCACAACTTTTTCATCTTGTAAAACTAAAACTTTGTATTCATTAAACAACTCCCCATCTTCCCCCCCCCAGCCTCTAGCCAGCATCATTCTGCCCTCTGTTCTATGAATTTCACTATTCTAGATAACTCGTGTAATTGGAATCCTATGGCATTTTTGTTTTTGTAATCAGAATTTTTAACTTAGCATGATGTCCTCAAGGTTTTCCATGTTGGAGCATGTGTCAGAATTTCCTTCCCTTTTAAGGCAGAATAATATTCTCTTGCATGTATGTTCTGCATTTTATTTATCCATTCATCATCAGTGAAGACAGGGCTGCTTCCTCCTCTTGCCTATTCTGAATAATATTGTTATGAACATGAGTGTAAACTTCTGTAATTTTAATCCATTGTTATTTTGGAGCTTCTACTCGATAAGCCAAATGTATACCCTAACTCAGTAGCTTTCAAACATAAAAAAAAGTGTAACCCACAGTAAGAAAGGCATGTTACATCATGACTCAGGATGCATATATATGTAAATATACACACATATAAAGCATACATCTATTAATCTATAAATGAAGGAAATAAAGTTCCATGAACAAACTTACCCTTATTACCTGGCAAACACGCTGATCTTTTTTCTACATGTATCTTAGAGAAAAACGTTGGTCTTGATCAATTAAACTGATTTTATACCTCATTGATAAATGTTACCCACCATGTGAAAAACTGTATCATAGCAGTTCCCATCCCCCATGTGCTCAGGTTGTTCTGGAGCCTGGAGGAAGAGAGATGATGGGAACAGTCACTGCTCTTGAGTGGACACAGTCTGTGGGGAAACTATGGAAATAATGTGGGACAATCCCAATAATGGAGGCAAACTGAGTCATCTCTGGAGGAAGGAAATGCTCATAATTTCCCAGGGCAATGGAGAAACGTCTTAGGGAGGAGTATTTGAGCAGATTCTTCAAGAAGAGGCACAAGTTAACTACGTAGAGAAAGTTGGGAAGCACGTTCTTGGTAGAGGGAAGAGCAGGTGTCCGGACACAGAGGCATAAACAAAGACAGTGCAGAGACAATGGCATGCAGTGCAGTAAGGCTGTCCTGAGGCATGGGGCGGGAGGGCGGAGACTGGTCAGGCAGAAAGGGGCACATCAGGGGGATTATATAGCTGGCTCAGGACTTTGGACATTATCCAGAGGAAATGCAAAGGCGTTATCTAAAGGAAGGGAAGGGCACCCCTAGATTTTCACATGAGAATGGCACTCTTGCCTGGAACTTTCCAGGATGTTGATTCACTTTTCTGCTTTCCCTCTTGGCTCTGAGCTATTCGAGGACAGGGATTCACTCTTGTATTTGTATTTCTTGAGCCCATCACCACCCTGACAGGCAATCTGAAGAATGTGCCCATTCCCAATCCCCACCTCTCACGACAATTCTACCACGGCTTGCATTGTATGATGTTCTCTTGTGGCTCCTACATTGGGCAGTGCGTCTAGGAGGCATCACTGTGTCCTGGGCGGGGCACGCACACTGACACACCCACCTTGGATTTCTGGGTGGAGGGCCAGGTAAAGCAGAGCCCAGCGCAGGGTCGTAGAAGTTGTCTCGGTTCCAGCAAAGAAGAGGTCCAGAGTGCTAATGATGAGGTTATCTTCATGGAAACTTGAAGTAGGCTTTTCTGCATTCTAGGAAGAACAATAATTAATGTTGTACATTAGTTTATTCACAGGATTCCTTGCTGCCATAACTGCCATGGGGACTACATCCTAGGAGGGAGTTTGGAAGGGAAGTTCCCCAGAAGAAACAACTTTCCCTTTGGCCTCTTCAGGAGGCAGGGACTTATTATAGCGGTATCATTAGCATCGTCCTGCCCCAAGTGCTGGAAGCTTTTTGGGTGGATGAAAATGAAAGACAGCTATTTTCTTATGCCTGTAATTTGGGAGAAGCTATTAGTCCAGTGGAAGGAGAATTGGATGTGAACCAGATAGATTTGTCTTCCAATCTTAGCCACTTTACTCAGTACCTGTAGAACCAAGGGTCAAGTTAATTAACCCTTCTGTGCTTTGGTTTCCTATTTTATAAAATGGAAATAACTATGCACATCTCTTAAGATGATATAATGAATTATGCGAGATGCGAGGGCACATAGCAAATACCCAACAAATGTTTGTACTGAAAACAGAAATAATACATGGAATTCCTCTTATGAACAATTCTCCTGTCTCCTGATTAATCTTTTCCTTTCCAATTGGAAATACTCTGACTCGATAACCATTTCTCATGATACCCCATCATCTTTACTATGCTCCTCTGGAAGCTTCCATTTGTCCAACATTGCTGTTAATATTCATGACCTCATACTTGCACACCATCAAGGAAGAAAATAATCCTTGTCTGGGGAGAAGATGATTCTTCTATTAGTGGTATGTCAATAAGGTAAAATGAAAGAAAGAAATCCATCATTCTGTCTGTTCCATGAGGAGAATCCAAAAATTGATGTGTAAAGATTGTGGCACTGATTCAGTGATGTATATTAGTCAGAGGGGCCACTGAGGAAAAGGTCATGTGCCCAGTTTGCACCCCCATACTGCCTCTGGCTTATAATGTTGGAAAGTGGATGCTATCAGGAGAAGGGGGAAGGCAAAGTCCCACTCAGGCCCCAAGGTTTAACTGTGACACCCAGCGCAGCTTTCCTTGTGTTCTTCCGCGGGGCATGGCAGAAGGGGTAAATCACTGGGCTCAGGCATGACTAATGATAAAACAGAGGTTTGAGGCTCAAGGGCTATTTTCCCCATTGTGTGCAGCCCCTTCAGATATGGGTAGAGGAGAGACGATGGGGGATGAAGGCAGTATTGGGCATTCACATTAAACCCCTATCTGTGCTTTCAATTGCCTCACGAGTCCTGTGTTAATGCTACCCTACCATTTCTGAAATACTGCCCTAAGTTTGACTGCCCTTTGGTAGGCAGAGATATAGCCCACAAACCTGTCCATCACATCCTACTCCCTGGAACCTTGGATATTACCTTATATGGCAAAAGAGACTCTGCAGATGGGATTAGGTTAAACATTCTGAGATGGCAACGTTATCCTGGATTATCCCAGTGGGCCCAATGTAATGAGAAGAGTCTTTATAGGAGAGAAGCAAGAGGGTCAAAGCCAGAGGGAGAAGACATAAGGATGGAAACAGAGACCAGAGGCAGACAGGAGGCTATGCCACTGGCTTTGAAGATGGAGGATGGGGCCACAAGCCGAGGAATATAAGCAGCCTCTAGAAGCCAAGAAAGTCACAAAAATAGATTTTTCTCTGGAGCCTCCAAAAGGAGCTAGCCCAGGCAAAACCTTGAGTTTAGCCCTGTGAAACTGATCTCAGACTTCTGACATCCAGAACTGTAAGAGATAAATTTGTGCTATTTCAATCCATCAAGTTTGTGGAAATTTGATACAAGAGCAATAGGAAACTAGCGTAGCCCTATTTGCTCTTTAAGGACAAAACACAGTAAACAACCTTGGTTTCCTCACCTTGGCCATTTCCTTGAGGTAAGCATCGATAAAATCTCTTGTTTCATCAGGATTCCAATCTTTCTTGTGTTTTTCAATCATTTGAGAAACAAACAATTTCAGTTTTTCCCAGTTTTTGATGACAGTTCGGTGGGATCCAGGAATGAATTTCATTATCCATGGAAAGAAATTGTAGAGCTAATTGCAGAAAAGAAAACAATTGTGGAGACACCTTGATGCCACTTTTCCACCTTTTAACACAACAGAAGCCAACTTCCCTTTCCATATCTTTCCTTCGTTCACACTGAAACCTTGATCAGCCGTGACCCCCTTTTTCTCTGTCACCCCTCTAGCAAAGCACTTCAGCTCTCTGTCCAAAATGCATCCAGCCTGTATGTACCACTCCTGGCCACCCAACAGCTTGCCATCCTGGTGCAAAGCACGACCATTCCCTTCCCTGGGTGCTGTAAGGAGAGCTTTCCACAGTTTTGTGGTTCTGTTGCCAACCTCACTCCCAGCCCGCCTTCCCCAGAGGCGCCACAGGGATCTTTTAGCAGTTTAACCTTGTCACTTCATTCCTTGGCTCTCAGTCCTTGGGGATTTCCACCACACTACGACCAGGTCCCATGTCACTCCTCTGGCCTGAAAGCCCCGCTGAGCTGGGCCCTGCAGACTGGCTGGCTCCTTCCTAACCTTGCTCTCTACTGTCCAGCAGTGACCTCTGGGATCACAGCAAGGACGCTCCTGTTTGAGGCCTCTGCAGTTGCTGTTCCCTCTGCCTGGAAAGTCCACATATCCCTTCATTAGGGCTCTGCTCTATGTCACCTCCTTGGAGCTGTGCGATTGATGATCCTGTAAGTGGCTGCACCTTTGTCACCCTCCGTCCATTCCCTTGTCTCATTTTGTTTTCTGTTATAGCAATGATGACTAACAAGTGTGCGTGTGTATGTGTGTGTGTGTGTGTGTGTGCATGCATTTGTCTCCCCAACCGTGTCGTATCTCCATGTGAGTAAGAGCGCACAGTTTTCACTGAAATAAAGTGGTTGTTGAATAAACCTTCTCTAATATTTGGTGGAAAAGTGAGAGCGTCACATAACAGAAAAATGCCTAGAGTTAAAATGGGACAGACATGGTGTGACTATTAGTTCTCCTCCAATCTAGCTATATAGTTGGTAACAGTAATAATAATGATGATGATAATAATAATATACTTTTACTTTGTTGATCCTTAGTTTAAGTAGCTGCCAGTCAGGCTCCAGCATGGTTCTGGGGACCGAATGATGTGAGATACACAAAACACTCAACACGGAGCTGGTGGACCACTCGCTGTACTTGCCTGCACACTCCCATGCCACCTTCCACACACTGTGTTGCCTCATTTAATCTTTATAAAGTTATTATGAAAATTAATGCAGATAAAGTAAGTGTATTTTTCTGTTAAAGAGCCTGGGATGTTCTGAAACTCCAAGAAAGGCTTATTATTCCTACCCTGCTGCCCCTGTGTTCTCTTCCCGGAGACTTGGACTCAGCAGTCAGCTGAGAACCCACTAACCTCTCGTGACCTCCTAGACTCTGCCTTAATAGGAAGGAAGTAAATAGAATTGCAGAACTCGAGACTGCCATGACTAGCAATGCAAACAAGGAATTCAAAATAACTTTGACAATAATAACAGCTCATATTCATCATGTCCTTTTCACATATGAGGATTCGTGCTAACTGCTTTATCAGTTTTGGAGGGATGGGCCCATAAATCTCCCAGGCAAGATACTTGTCAGGAATAAATAAAAAGAAATCCACTTCTAGATAAACAACAGTGAAACTAATAATTAGTAAAGAGAATGTGGACTTAAATGCAGCCAGAGGGAAAGGAAAAGAGTATTTTTGAAGGAACAGCAATTACTTCTAGCTGACTTTCCATGGCACCAGTGGGAACTGAAAGGTCAGTGGAATAACATTTTGAACATGCAGGAGAAAAAAAAAAACAGTCAAAATAAAAAACATTTCTAATTAGAGCAAAATACAGATATTATTGAATAACTGAAATTGAAAAATTTGCCACCAACCTACCCTCACTAAAGGAAATTCAAGAGGAGGCTGTAAAATAAATGGGATGTTGAAAAAAGAAACTGGCAAATATTTCAGTAAATATGTGCAAACATTTCCTGCCACAAACATTTCCTGCCTCAAACACAATAATCATGTATACTTTTGAATTAAAAGACGAACAAACTAAAAGACATGACATGAGGAACCTAAATCATTGATCAGGTGTATTCTATGGTAGGATAAAGATAATAATTGTTGAAGCTGCTGGTTTAATTATGAATATTAAAATTTTAAGTGAAAGACTAAAATAATAGAAGAAGCCTGTTCATCTTCTATGTGACCACAGGCAAAAGTAAAGTGAGAAGAACAGTCATTCATAATAAGTCAAAAAAGGAGAAAAGAACAGATAAATAAAAATCATAAAATGATTAGAAATTAGTTCTAATGTGGTAATAATTTTGATCAAAAGAAAAGGAACTAGATGGTCCAAAAAAAAAAAAAGAGACAAAGATTTTCAGATTGGATATGTACATTACATCTAGCTTTCTGCTGTTTAAAAATGAAGCATCTAAAATATAATGGCATAGGAATGTAGAAGTAGAAGGATAAAAGAGTAGTAACCAGACACTAAACAAAGGAAAGACAATTACCTTTATTCATATCAGACAAAACAGTCTCTAGGGAAGAAAATATTAATAGACACAAAGAACATTAGTAAAGAGCTACGAAATTTCAATTACTAGGAAGAAATAATGATTGAAACGTATTTACTAACAACATGGCTGTAAAGGCTATAAAGTAAAAATTGACAGAAATATAATGAGAATGAGAAAAATCCACCATCTTAGTAGGAAATTTTAGCACACTGGATACCCTAGCCAGCACAATGAAGCAAGAAAGAGGAATCAATGGATAAGGGTTAGAAAGGAAGGAACAAAGCTACTTTTATTTGCATATACATGATTGTCTATGAAGCCATCCAAAGATTAATTATAATAGTGTTAATAATTTACCAAAGTTGATCCATACAGAATCAATAACCATATGTCAACTGCAAGGAGGGAGAAAAATAATTACAGTATAATCAATTTAAATCCTACAAAGAAATAATGCATATAGGCAATGATCATGAATAATTTCTCTAACCATTAGATAAAAAGTGGAAGGGGAATGCTATATTAGATGGATCAGACTACATAGGTGAATAGAAATATGCATGTACAATTTTGAACTTTACATGAACAATAGAAATGTTTAATGCATATGTCAAACATTTGGCAAAAATTTAATATTATTCCAAACAGTAGAGTCAACAGATTGATTTCAAATAAGTTTGTAATAAATGAAATTTAAAAGGATATATTATAGCTGCAACTTCACCCCAATCTACCCCCACCAAGAAAAAACTAAAATCAAAGACCCATCTGCATCTGCAATAAGCCCCAATGTCCTTTACCAAGACATAGAAAGAGAACTGCCTTACCTGGCAAGAAACTGAACCACTCATATATGAGACCTCATCCAGTAACCCCAGCAACTCCTGAAACTGAGCATCCTGGTACTCAAATCGCTTCCCAAAGGTGATGGAGCAAATGATATTGGAAACTGCATTGTTGATTTTGAAGTGTGGGTCAAAAGGCTGTCCTGGAGGAGGAGGAAGGACAAGGTGGGTTTGTTCTAGATCCTACTGAAAGTCTACTCTCTATGACATAGGGCATACCTCGTACTGAACCATTCATGAGGCCTGGCCACACCACCTTTCACTAGGGCTGACATACAGCAAGTACTGAGTCAATGCCACAGTCAAACTGATGACCAGGACTTAAATTCAGTAATGTGTTTTTTGCTCATCTTCATGCATTTAATTCTAGAACTCCTTGAGGGCAGGGTCATGGTTTGTTTTTCACTGCTCTATGCTTAGTACTTAGCACAGTGCTGAGCAGAAAACAAGCATTAGGCACTGCATAAATATGTACCCAATGTATGAATTGGCCCCAGTCTCCTACATCTGTCCTCCAAAATGCTCACCGTTCTCCTCCTTGATTGCTTCAGTGAGGTGGCGGACCTCCTCCTGAATGCGTTCCTCTAGGCTCTTCTTTCCCAGACCAAAGTTCCTTAGCGCTGTCAGGGCGAACCTTCTTTGCTCCTTCCACACCTGGCCATTGGACATGATCAATCCTGGGAAAAAGAAAGTCAATACTATGGTGTTGAGGTTTGATAATGTGAATATCCAGCAAATGATATGAGGATGTGTATCAACGGAGGGAAGGAGAAGGGTATTCATGCACTTGAAAACTGTTCAGATAAACCACCCCAAAGCAGTGAACATAACTGACTGCTTGGGATGTTAGGCACATTAGTAAATATTTTATACATTCTGCAATTTAGTACTCAGAGAACTTCTGTTGGATAGGTACAATTATTACCACCACAACCCCATTTTAATTATGAGAAACCTGAGAAACAGAGGATAAAATAAACATCATGAGCTCGCACAGCAAATGGCTAAACAGCTGTTCAAACACAGGTCTTCCTGATTCTAAAGCCCATGCACCGATTATTAGCCACATAAGTAAAATTAAACATTCATGTCATGCTAAATTCTAGGAATGCACTTATGGATCAGATAAAGTCAATATACTTGAAGCAAAAAAAAAAAAAAAGGTTTATAGGAGAGTTCTTATCTAAGACAGGCCTTAAAAAATGAAAGAATAACTCAAGAGAGCAAGGAGGGTGAATATTCCACACAGAAAGGACACCACAGGCAAAGGGAAGAGACCGTCTTGGTATGTTCAACAGACCATCATCTGTCCACAACACAGGGGAGGCCATGCTCCGTTCTGTTTATTCACTTCCAGAGCAACCTCCACTCCTTTCACACTTGGCTTTGGCCTCTGTCACCAATGAAATGGCCCTCCTTGCTGTCACGTCCAGGGTGACACATCTAAGACCTCCAAGGAAGACCCACATCCACATCCAAGTAAGTTACATCTACATCCAAGTAAGACCTCATCTTACTTGATCTTGCAGTAGCATCGGACATTTCTTTCTGGACACACTCCCTTCCAGTGGTTCTGAGGCTACCACACTCTCCAGATATTCTTTCTAATTCTCTTCCAGCAACTTCCCGCATATTTTGCTGGTTCATCTTCTTCTATTAAATCTTGAAATGGTGGAGTTCCTTCAAATGAGGTCTTAAGACTCTTCCTTTTTCATATTATATGGCATTTCTGGGAAATCTCATCACTCCCTAAAACTTTAAATAGCATCTATTGATAGTGACCATCTATTGCTGTCCCTGAGCTCTAGCCCCATATATATTAATACAACAACTGCCTGACTTTGCTGACCTAAAGGCATTTCAAACTCAGCATATCCATGCTTGAACTCATGATTTCTCCATGCAACTCCCTACCCATTCCCAAACAAAGGAAACACCTTGTCCTTTTCTGAGTGTTCCTTCTTTCCATCATTGACCCATTTGGGTGTCACCTCCACACCTCACTCTCCCTGCATCTAGGCCATCATGTGTTATAGGCTCACCTCCTGGATGTCTTGAATCCATGTGTCTTCCCTGCCACTACGCTGTGTCTAACCTACTATGATTTCCCACCACCCCCTAGGTCCAAGCTACCAACTTCTATAACCCAAAAGTCTACAGTAGTCTCTTGTTCTTTTTTGTCCATTCTCTAAATGATAGTCTAAATGAGTCTTAAAAATGTATACAATTAATATGATAATTTTCTTCACTACTTAAAACCATTCAAGAACTTCTGTTATTAGAATCAAAACCAGCATCCTTAATAAGAACTTGCATGAAGTATCCCTGGCCAAGTGCAGCAGCTTCATTTTCATTTAATTATCTCCTTTTAATCCTTGTGATTGTCACATGGGCCACCTTTCAATTCCTCAAGTTAACTATCTTCTGTACACTTCACGAAATTTTATATTCTTTTCTTACTACTTGATTTTTCTTTATTTCAATAAATTAGCTTTTCCTGAATCCCAGGACTACATTAGATACCCCTCTTAAGTGCATCCTGAGTTATCTTCATACACTATGGGCTTTAGATTATTACAGTGAATAGAAGTTACATAAGGACATAGATTGTATCTGTTCTACTCACTGTTGTATCACTCCTGCCTAGCACCGTGCTTCACATGGGAGATAGTACAGTGAATGGATGTAGAATTAACTGATTAACATTTCAAAGAGGAATTAGGAAGCACCTCAAAAATGGTGCTTTGACAGAGTAATAGATTTGAGATTTCATTTTGATATTTAAATGTTTAATTTTCTTTAATGATAATCTTAAGTAATCCTGCCGGCCTGTTCTAACATAGACCAGAAGGCTCGAGATCCCTGGTCAGCATGGCCTTCATGGTAGAGCATAAGGAGCTGGAGACAGAAAGCAGCAGCAGAAGGAAGCAGATCCACATCCATTTTCCTCTGGGAAGAGGCTTGGAACGGGACAGCAGAGAGAGAGAGAACACATCGACTTTTCCTCTGCCAAAACTGGGTGAAGTGGTTACGTCATTATAGAAGCATCTGGTGTGAGTTTGTGCAGGGCATGTGGCCTCTCCCAAATCTCTAGAATGGGTGATCTTGTGAAGTGCTCTGATGGGGTGACTTGAATCAGGAAATGTGGGCACCCAGCTTTCGTATAAGGCAGGATGTTTGCAACGAGGCCAGTTTCTGGAGGTTGTTGGAAAGTTACTGTCAGAGGCACTTCAACTGACCAAGAAACTTACCATTTCCCTTAACGATATGTTCTTGGAGAGGGAAAACAGGGCGGTTCATAAAGTGCTGGTCCATGTGGACGAGGGCTTCTTTGATCAGGGGCAATCCAGTAATAACAACTGTAGATATGGGTCCAAATTCCAGGCCAATAAGGTTCCCATATTTCTTCACCAACTGAAAAACAGTGAAGTAGTCACAGCTGAACACGCACACACCTGAGTGTTCACAAATGGAGGTTTGTATGTGTGCAGCTGCAGGGGCTCTCACTGAAGGGAGTGTGTGTGCATGGGTGGGCATCCGGTCTCATGGGAATGTTTCTGTTTCCTTTTCTCCCCCTCTCAACAAAGTTCAGAATCAATTCACTTCAGATGTGCAAGGTTCCTTATAAACATCCATTCATATACTCACCCAGCATGAATTAAGTGAGCATCCAGCATGTTTCCCTAGAGCAGGGCATAGCATGTAACTGTAATAATATAAACAAGGTCTCTAACCTCAAGCTTCCTAGAGTCTATCCACGAGAGAGAATTCAGCACATCTGAAGCCCCACTCAAGGCTGAGATATGTTTAGGGAAAGTCTGTGTAGCAAGCAGGATTTGTTAGTAAATCATAAAATCTGTTTAACCAAAAGAGAACGCCCCCTTCCTACACTGGCCATAGATAATAGAAACACGTGCTCGACAGCAGAAGGCGCACTACAGGGTGGACCAGGCATGGAGAAAAGTTCTCTAGCACTGGAGTGACGCCAGAATCTTGGCAATGCATTTCAGTTGCTGTGGGCTCTTGGGAAGTCACTTCACATTTTGGGTCTCAACTCCCCATCTGTAAAAGGGAGAAAGTTATTCCTGTCTCAAAGGGTTCTGTGGGGAAGGATGAAAGCAGCTGTGTGAAAGGCGCTTTGTTTTCTGGTCCAGGCGCACAGCCACTCAGCAAGCGTCCAAGGAGTAAACAAGCTTTATGTGCAAAGGGCCGTGGATGTGCACTCACAGTGGCAGAAAGAACAAGAGCTCACGGACATGTGGGGAGGAGACACTCGGGGTCACACAAAGCCACATTCCCTGTGTGCACTTTTCAAGTTTTATCTCATTAATCCCATAAGTACCCTACAGTAGTAACAATTTTTCTGTTCTTTCAGAAAATGAAAATAAGTCAGAGTTGAAGTAACGCAGCCAAGCTGACAAAGCTATTGTTGGGGCAAGGAATTTGCCAGGCATTATATAAGATTTGAGGACAAAGACATGATACAAAGATGGCTCCAGGAACTTAGAGTTTGGTGAGAATGAGAGAGTGAATGTGAGAATGAGTGGAGAGTAAGAGAGTTGGGGGCAGGAGAGGGTGAGAGAGAACGGGAGTGTGTGGGTGTGTTTATGACCATGCACACGTGTGCAGGGATGTGCAGACATGGGGTGGAGAACAGTTACAGTCACTGATAAAAGTCCTTCCAATCTAATCAAGACAGGTCCCTACCTAAACCCCACCCCTGCCTTGTGTCTGCCTGGGTTGAGTGTAGCTGTGTACACGGTATCAAACAAAGAGGCTCCATGTCCTCCAGGTGTCTGTGACTCCCTCCCTGACCCTGGTCCCCTTGTGCTTATTCTCCAACATGCCACTCCTACAGCCCCGGACCTACATGGCCCCATCAGAGCCAATACAATGGATTCAGCCTCATCCCAGCACCATCCCCCCACACTAAAGACCAGGCCTGAACCCAGTCCTTCCATCACTGTTTTGTCCCAGTGTCCTCCAGCAGTCTCTGTTTACCTCCAGCACCGCATGTCCTACCCATGAGAGCCAAAGTTCAATCTCAAGTCAGTTTGACTCTAGATTACTTGTAAGAAATGGCAGTGATGGCTCCCTAAACATAAAGCAGATTTTGCATTTCACCTTGTGGAATTTCTGAATGGAGTTCAGAAATTGCAAGAAGAATTTGCAAGAAGAATTTCTTGGTTAATTAAGAATATTTAATGAAGTTGTTTTTGGAAGAGCTGAAAAATCTCAGGTTAAGTTAAGTGACTCCTAGTTGGCAATGTGTGCAACCTAGAATCTCAGCTGATACTTGGGAGGGATTCAGAATTACATTAATCCTTATTGAAATAAAATTCTTCAGAGTTCAATCGCTATCAGCTCTCTGACCATGTATATTTCTACTTCAGCAAAACTGGATCAAAAACTTTTATGGTTTTATCAACCATGTAAATCTGGATAGGTGAAACAACCTCCTGGAGCCCTGGGACTGATTACAGCAATGCCTAACAACTCTTAAGTGCACTGTACCAGTCACTGTGGCAATTGCTTCACAAGGATTAAACGACTCAGAGGGCATCAGAAAGGACTTTGTAAGGCAGAGTATACATATTGATTATATCATCAAACAAGTTATTAAAAAGAAACAGAATAAGGGAATAAAAAAGATTACAAATAAGATAGTTCAGAAGGTAAAAATAGGTTTAAAATCAGAAAACAGAAAAAGAAAAAAAATGATTGAAACAGGTGCTATAAAAGTGAAACAAAAGCAATAGGAAACAGGAAATTTAATATTAGGAATAAAATTCCAAATGTAGCACTAAGGGTTTAAAAAATATGATGGAGTTAAATAAATGTTTAGAATAAAGCAAAACTATATGTGAAAGATTAATGAGACAAGAGATTGGATCATTACTACGGAGAGATATTAAATTCAGTGACATTCCACTTAATTTAAGGACAAATGTAACAAAGACACAAAGAGAGGAAAAGAAAAAATGTAAAAGAGTGTCCCAATTCACACTCTCAGAGTGTCTGTTTCCCTGAATTCTCACCAGCACTGAGCTGTGCATTTGTGTGTGTTAGTGCGTGTGTGTAATCCTAACAGGCACACATAATGCATGATGTTTCTACATTTCTCTAAGGTTTAACATCTGTCCCTCGATGTTATGTTTTATATATGTTATACCTTTTAAATCACCTGTTGATATCTTTTAAACATTTTTGTGTTGTAGTACTCAACTACTTTCTCATTGATATGTAGAACTTATAGTAAAAAGTTGCAAATACAATTTTATTTTCATTACATCCAGCTCTGGAAAGACATATCCCCAAGACCTATAGAGGTACTGCTGAGTGTGTGTGTGTGTATGTGTGTATGTATGTGTGCGTGTGGCTGCAGGAGTGTGTGGGTTGGTGGCAGGGTGGGCACAAAGAGAGGTAGGATTCCCTCTCTCTCTTTTGCTAAACTGTTTTAATATGCTATCTCAATATGTCTGCATTGCCTTTATAGGTAAAAAGCATTTCTATCCAATAAAGCAAAAAAGAAATAAAAGGACCTTAAAGAAATGAGGAATAAATTTTGATATCAGTGATTTTTAACCTATTTTGAGTTATAGATTCAGTTAAAAAATTAGTGTATGTCATAGATCTGCTCTCCAGTAAAATCCTGTATACATACAGTTATGCATGCATTTTTAGGAATTTACCTGTCCCCCGTGGCCCATGAACACTCCTGCTAAGAATAATGTTCTCACGGGTAGTTCTTGGGGCTATGCTGGTTTCTGAGAACAGTCTGTGGAAATCGAATTCATGCTCAATTCATCACGTTTTTATGGGAGGCATCTTCTGGCATTGGCTTGATACATGTGGAGGCAATACAAAGATCAAGATATGGTGTTTCCTAAAGTGTCAAAGTCTCTTCGGAGAGGTTGGGGTGGGGAACCTGCGGCCTTAAGGCCACATGTGGCCTTCTAGATCCTTAAGTTTGGTCTTTTGACTGAATCCAAATTTTACAGCATAAATCCACTTATTAAAAGAGGTACAGCAGAGAAAGATGAAGCTTTTCTTATATCCTTTGGGGCTTAAAAAAAAGCAATCTTGAAATAAGAAGTCCACAGCTTCCCAACCCCTGCCACTGGGGCGGCGGCAGGGCGGGCTGATGACACATATTACAATACTGATGGAAAGGGATGGGAAGGTATTGCAAGGAGGGATGAGTTTCCACCACAGATATTGGGAAAATCTTCTAAGAGCAGATGAGATTTGAGTCAGATCGTAAATAAAGGTCAAGGAGCCAGCAAAAGGACATGTAACAAGGCAGCAAAGAGATTTGCGTTGTAGGAACAGCATGTGCAGGTGCAGAGGTGAAGATGCAGGTGTTTGGGAACAACACAGCTACCCTGTCTGACTGCAGAGCAAGGTTGATTAGTTACAGAGCACTGACCATGTAGGGGACCAAGGCCAGGTGCTCAAAATCTAATGGGGTATATAGGTAAATGATTAGTTCTTGGTATTGCCATTCTGTACAATACATTATTTGGTGGGAGAAAGTTAGGAAGCACATAGGGGAACAGGGGCTAGGGTAGGCTCCTGGAAGAAGTATCTTCCTAGTTGACAGGGAGATGGAAGACAAAGCTGCTAAGGTAATCTGACCTAGACTGAGGAGAGTCTTAATGTCGAGTAAAAGATTTTGGATTTTTTTTTGTTGTTGTTGCTTGCAATTGGAAGTCTGAAGATGCTTGAGTAGGAGAGGTGATGTGAGTGCTTAAGAGTTTGGATTGTGGACTCATACAAGCTTGTTTGACTCTATGTTCTGATTCTTACTTTCTGTTTGATTTGAGGGAGAACTATTTAATGTTTCTGTGTCTTAGTTTTCAAATCTATAAAACAGGGGATATTCCTAGTTCCCATCTTTAGTATTGTGGTGATAAGTAATCGTAATACTAAAATCGATAATAAAGGTATTATTATAATTGATATTTTAGGGAGCATATTTTAGAAAGAGGATTCTTATAATCACATCAACAAAGGAAGGGAGGACCAGAGAGCTGACAATGGGCTACTGTGGCCCGTCTAGTGACCAAGAGAGATAAATGATGCCTGGCATGCAGCCCAAAACTGGCTTTTCTAGAGTTTATTGATACAAACTTTTAAAGAGGGGCAGAGTGGAAAATATGCAAAGTAAGTATCAACTATGTGCTAAGCATTCTGGCAGTAACTTGACAGTAATTAACTTATTTTATTTGCATATTAATAATAAAAATCCTATAAAGAGTTCCCAGTTTTCAGAAAAACAGGTACAGTGATTTTAGCACATAGGTGGTGGCATAAAGTTTAGGCTCTTTCCAGCACATTCTGTAGGCCTCATCCTTAAATGAAAGGATGAATATATTTCCTCCTCTGTTATTCTGCAGGAGAAATACTTAGGGTTGCTCCCTAAATATTTGCTGGCCACATTTCCCAGCCTGTCTAGCTGTGGCCAATGGGACACAAGGATAGCTATGTGTGCATCTGCTGGGTCACTTCATTAAACAAAAGCAGCTTGTTCACCACCTCCCCTGTCCCTTTCCCCATGGGCCAGGACTCATACATGATGGTGTTGGTGGAGGACTAGAGCAGTGAGATAGAAGGAACTGGAGGTGTTAGAAGACACTGTGGTACAAAGCAGCCTCCCTATCCTGAACTTCCTGCCTAAATCTGAACTCCATTGTGAAAGGGAAATAAATTTCAATCTTGGTCACATCACTGTATTTTGGGGTCACTTTCTTAAAAGCAATTTATCAATCTTAACTACCATTCTCCCATCATAGTCTGATGACTTTTTCTGCCATTTAAATAGTAATAAGTGTTCCTAAAACAAGCCATATGGCTATAGTAAGGAAAGTGTAGAAAATGGGCTGGGTGAGAGCTGGGGAGAAAAGCTCCCATCACACCATACAAAGAGAACAGTTTCTTCACTGTCCGCTCACTGTGTTTTAGTTCAGACCATCCTCCCATTTAAAATCTCCTGTCCCTTTACTCTACTTCGCTACTGGTAGAACATCAAATATTTCTTTAAAGTTCTACTCTATTTATTCCAGCATTTTACAAAAGATATCCCCAGAATTTCTCTTTCACAGTAATCCCATCTCCTGATAATCCATTTGGTTACCAAGCATTTACACTACGCATTTCATCATACACTGTCTTGCACTATACCTGGCATATGGTAAACACTTAATAAATGTATGTTGAAGAAATAAACCCATGAATAAATCAAGTATCCTCAAACTATATTGTGAGAAGTCATGTAGCATAAGTAGAGAATAGGTATCTGAGTCAAATAGTCTTGGGTCCAAGTCCTTGTTTTGCCATTGTGTAGCTGAATACCCTTGGCTAGTCACTTTACTATTTGTTCTCAGCCCGTTTACTTCATAGTAAAATGGAAATGCCACAAGATAATACCTAAATTGTGTGCCTATCATGAAGATTAAATGAGAATTAACTTAAAATTCTGATGTGAGATCTATTAGTTAGTTTCTATTTAATGTGTTCCAATCGCAAGAATGTAAAATTAATTATAACGAAATCACATCTTTGAACTTCATGTATTTCACACCAAGGAATATACAAATGGCAACCTATATAAAATAAAAATAAACAATGTGATGAAAAGTCACTGGGCCAGGAATAAGAACCTAGTCTCAAGTTTCATCACTAGCTAGTTTTGTGGCATTAGAGGGAGAATCTAACCTCTCTACTCAAATCTATCTTGGTAGTACAGCAAGGGCACAGATCAAACTTGGCATTCCAGGCAAGACTGAATAAAAGCATCCCGATGTACTTGTACTAATCATGACACCAATTGATGGAGACAAGCTACCTCCCAGAAAAGCCTACTTTCTTTAGCCCAAAGACAGGAAAAGGACAGGCTGACAGGACAGAAATCCTTAGCCTTTTTACCTCTCTGTTATGGAAGCAAACACCACTCCACGAATGACAGCAAATTTCTCATCAGAAACCACGGAGACCAGAAAGAAGTAGCACAATGCTTGAAAATGTTGAATGAAAGAAATTGGCAACCTAGAATTCAATAGTTAATGAATGTATACTTTGGAAATAGAGGTGAAATAAAGACATTCTTAGCTGAATAAAAGCTAAGAGAATGTTTGCCAGCACACCTGATGTTTGTGCTGAATGGCTAAAGAAAGTTATTCAAAACAGACAGGATATTTTAAACTTGGAAAATCAGGAATGAAGAAAAAGCAACAGAAAGGGTAAATAAATGGGTAAATACAATCAATTATTTTTCTCTTGAGGTTTCAAAATTTGCATTTGTCATTTAAAAGCAAAATTATAATATTGCCTGATGTGGTTCTCAATGTATGCAGAGATAATATTTAACAGAATTATACTAATAAAATAGTAAGGGTAAAGTGACCTAAATGGTTGTAAGGTATCAGTATTTCACTTGAAGGATAAAATGTTGACACTAGTAGACTGCAATAATCTACATAGGCAAATTGTAATGTTCAGACCAACCACTTGTAAAACAATACAAAGAGATATGTTCAAAAACACCACAGATAAATAAGAATAGAATTATTTTTTAAAATGTTCAAGTAACCCACAGGAAGACAAGAAACGGGAAACAGAACAATGAAAAGCAGGAAAAAAATGTAAAATAAATAATAAGATGGTAGACTGAAATCCTCATGTATCAATAATCACATCAAATATAATGATCTACATTGACCAATTAAAACACAGAAATTGGCAGAATGAAAAAAATGACCCAATTATATAATGTTTGCCAGAAACTCATTTCAAATATAATGGTAATATAAGTAGGTTAAAAGTAAAATGACGAGAAACTTATACTACTCACATACTAATCAAAAGAGAGTTTGGTGTGGCTTTATTATGATAAAGTAAAGTTCAAGGATAATGTAGGACATTACATAATAAAAGGGTGAATTCACCAAGAAGACATGACAATCCTATGGGTATATGCAAAACAGCACAGCTTCCAAATACATGAAGGAAAAACTACCAGAACTGAATGATAAAATGGACAAACTCACAGTTGTAGTGGGAGACTTCAACGTACCTCTCTCAGAAAGTCATAGAATCAGTAGATAATAAGTCAGCAAAAACATAAGACAACTAAAGAATACCATTACCCAATAAGATTTAATTGATGTTTACAAAACATTCCACCCAAGAACAGTTGATTTTTTTTCAAACGTGCATGATATGTTTATACACATAAATGTATCATGCATGATACATACACAAGACTGTATCTTGTGTCATTAAATCAACTTTAATGAATTTAAAAGAATTATTTCTTTGACCATAATGGAATCAAACTGGAAATCATTAACAGAAGAATAACAGAAAAATCTCCAAATACTTGGAAATTAAACAACTAATTTCTTAAGGAAGGGCACAGGTTTAGGAGACTAGCTTTAAAATTCTGTGACTAATCCTGTCACTTATTGTTACCAATTGGACATTTCTCCCAGAGTAATAAGATCTGCCCATCTGTATTTGAATACAGCATATAGTCACATGTTTAAAGTACTCCAGGCATGTGTAGAGAAAGGGGAACTAATACCTGTTGTGCACCAAATAGAAGCCATGTCAATCATTCACTCTTTTATTTAATCTCTATCATCATCTGTCAGTGTCGTCTCTTAGCAAAGTACCTGTGCTGAGTGGCAGGGAAACCAGCTGAAGATTCTTGAGAATCTTTTCTCAAGAGTGTTTGATGTCTGAGAGAACTTTAAAGAATTCAGAGTGGCCAGAGTCAGGGAGCCTGATGGGAGATGATTATAAAGAGGTGGAAAGAGGCCAGATCTAGAAGGGACCCAAGGGTCCCAGGAAGGAGTCTGAACACTGGGAGGCAGTGGGAGGCACTGAGAAAATTTAAGCAGAGAAATAACATTTTAAATGATTCCTTCAGTGAGAGTGAACTTCAGGGGAGGTGGCTGAAGACAGGGGATCATTTAGTGTGGGGGTGAGAGTTATCCTGTTGGGAAATGATGAGGATTTAGGTAGCATTATCACCATCTTACAGATGGGAAATGAACTTCCTAGAACTGTAGCATTTTTAAGGATAATATAAAAGAGATCAAAGCAATCATATTGTAAACAAGATGTTCTAACAGTGTTTAACTAGATAACACACAATTAAATGAGTTAAATAACACAACACGCCCAGTACTCTTCATAATACACCACCCCTAGAAAGGGCAGGTAGAATCATACCTGTTGACAGGAGGGGAAACAGGAGAAAGAACTAAGCTCACGGCAAGGTTTTACCTGGTTGCCCGGCCACAGAGCTTCCAACCACCCCCCACCCCCACCTCAGTCCCTTGTCCTGCAGATCAGAGTTAGCGACAGGACAGGGCTAGGGGCCCTTCCCTGCGCCTACCCGCTTAAGTGCCAATTGCGACTGCTCAAGGTCCAGGTGGAAGAAGTTGCCAAAGAAGGGCAGGCGCCAGGGCCCCGGGGGGTAGTTCTTTCGCCGCTGTCTTTTGAGGAAGTCAGCAAAGAGCAGAAAGGTGACTGCGCCCAGGAGGAGAGTCTGGGGATGGAGCAAGGCCCAGAGGGCGGCCGCCAGGGAGCCCATCGCCGCGAGCTGGCCCAGGACGTCCACTTGTTCTTCTGAGGCCAGAGAAGTCTACTGTCCCTGCCTGTCCTCGCCCCCGCACTTCAGCACAGCCCCTGCTACCCTTTGCCCACCTTGCCTCTGCTTTGCCTAGAACCTCCCGGGCCACGCCTCACTCCCGGCCTGAGCCTGGCCCCTCTCCGTGCCCGCCCGCCCCCGAGCCCGCCCCCAAGCCCGCCCCTAAGCCCGCTGCTTTTCTCCGGGCCCAGCCCTCTGCTGCACCCAGGGAAGATGCCAGAGGCTGGATTCCAGGGAGAACACACAGGGGCCTTGGAAAAGAGATTGAGAGATTGAGATGCAGAGGAGAGAATAATGGCACAAATGCAGTAACATGTGCACAGCCAGTGAATCCAGGGGAAGCTTTAGGGGTGTACTGTTAAAAATTCTCCTGTAGCGTTAAAATTCTCAAAATAGAAAGTTGGGGAGAAAAGATAAAAGGGCACTATAGTATAAAGAGAAGAAACCTAGGTGACAGGTCACCACTTTATGTTCTGTTCCTGGTTTTGCCCCTTAATAGGTGTAGGACTTTCAGGAAATCACTTAGCCTTCATGAACTTCACTTTCTTCAGCAGTAAAATGGAGACCAACAATTATTTTTATCTTCCTCAAAATTAATTATAGGGCATCCAGGGAGATAATGACTGTAAAAATGATTTGTGAAGTGTTATTATTATATCTTATATTTTTAAAGGGTGTCTCTTTCTTTAGCATTTGCTTTCTGTATTAATTATCTGGCATTCTATATGAAATTGCTCTACTTGCAAACTTAATTTAATAACTTTTATTAATTCAAGTAATGCTATGCTCCAAAACAGCAATATCAACTCAGTCCATCATACATGCATGTGTGCACATGTATTATTGATTGCATGTACATTTAAGTTCTTGAATGATCTACAAATATTATTAATCTAATGTATTTTATAAGTACAGAATAAAGCAGCAAGAGTGATGAAAGTACTAGCAAGAGAAAGGTGCTATTAAATATTTCAGTGGTGATTAGAGATGAGAAAAATGATGAAAGTGATAAAAATATGGGTTGCATATATAAATAGAGTGAAATATTTGATTCTCAAGAATGAAGATAAAATCATATAAGCAAAATTAAAGATAAATATAAGATATAAGATAAATTAAAAAGAGGAATGATTGCTAGACTAACTGGAAACTCAGAGAGCAGGCTTAGATATAGGACGAGATCAAGAATTGGCTTAAGGACATCTCTAGGCATCCAGGCCCAGGGACCATTCCATTATCTCACCAGGTGCTGCCACTAGAAAGAATGAACTCTGACTCACTTTTCTGTCATCTTCAGCACTCCAAAGTTTGAGGGGAGAACCCTGCTGGCCTGGCTTAGGTTATATATGGTCATAAACAGCAAAAAGATATTTTAGACAACAACGGCCTGCATATATGACAGTGGTCCTGTAAGATTATAGTGAAGCTGAAAAATTCCTAATGCTTAGTGATATCATATTTAAAGCAAATTCTTGCATGAGCTTGTCTGCAGGACAAATTCATAAAAGGAGAAGAACTGGGTTGAAAGGGTATGTTCCTTTAAATACTGATAAATGTGACTGCATTTCCCTGACAAGAGTCCCTATCACCTATGTACAAGAACATCTGTTTCTTCCCTGTCAACTCAGAGGTAGAAATTATTTGCCAATTGGATTAGTAAAAAATGACTGTATTTCATTTAAATTTTATTATTTGTTATTTTTAGTGGCATTATTTTAAAGCTCAAAAGTGATACTATACCTATTTTTTTAAAAGTCATTTGCATTTATTTCTCTCCCAAATTAATGACTTCATCCAGTTTTTTTTCTATCAGGTAAATGATCTTTTTTTTATTTGTATACATCATAATATATTAAGGGAACTAGACATTTATCTGTTATTTGTGTTGCTAGTATTTTCCCCACATTTTTCCTGATCTCTGACTTTGATTATAGAATTTTTACCATGCAGAAATGTCTGTTTTTTTAAATGTAGTCAGAACTACTAATCTTTTTTTTCAACCTTCTTTCAACCAAGTTTTGTGTCATGTTTAGAAATACCATCCCTATTGCAATAATATAATTTCCCCATATTTTCTTTATGGTTTTTTGTGGGTTAATTTTTACTTTAATATGTTTGACTATCTGATGCTTATTTTGCTAGGAAAAATAGGCAGAGATGTAACTTCATTTTTTCCCTTTTGGCTATTCAAGTTGTTAACTAGCCTATCTTCTTCTCATTGATATGAAATGCTATCTTCATGAGAAAGTAAAATCCTAACCACCGCCCATCTGTCTCCCTAGTTCAAACTATTTGGGTCTCCTTTGTTTCTTTTGCCCATTGATCTTTGTATCTACTCATATGCTAAGATGAGCCTTTTTTGAAATTACAGAAGCTTAACTATTTTTTTCAATGAATTTTAGCCTTAGTCTTCCTACTCCCCAGTTTTCCTTTGTTTCAGATTTTCCTGGTTATTCATTTAATTTTGATTTTCATCATAAACTTGGGAATGAGCTGGTCTAGCCAAGTATAAGAAAAATTCTGGTCATAACTTGCTTAGGATCGTAACACCTACTCCTCTCACAGTCTTCAGCGTCTCAGAAGTGAGAAGTCCATCCTTCTGGCTTCTCAGGCCGAGAAGTTTTGAATTATCCTTATTTTCTCTCTTTCATACACTTCAAATGTAAATCAGCAAATCTAGCTGAGTCTACCTTTAGAATATATCCAGGAGCCAGTCGTTTCTCACTGCCTCCACCGCTCCCATTATTTCCCTAACCACCCTGATCTCTCATCTAGATTACTGGAAAAGCCCAGTTTTCCTGCCCCTGTGGTTGCCCTGTGAACATTCATGCACATTCATGCCAGAGTAATTCTTTAAAAACCAGATCAATTCGTGTCATTCCACTGCTCAAATAGCTGTATAGTGGCTTCCCATCTTGCTTAAAGTAAACGTCACAGTCCTTATGATGTCCTGAATGTGACCTGGCTTTTGTCATCTCTCTGATCTGATCTAGGGCTCCTGCCTCCCTTCAGTCTGCTGTGGTCACCTTGCCCTCCTTGAGTGTGCACGCTCCCAAGTCCGGGCCTGTGCACCTGCTCTTTCCTCTGCCTGCAGAGCTCTTCCCCAGGGTATTTGCACAGCCTTCCCCATAACCTCCTTCCAGGCTTTGCTCAGAAATTGTCTTCTCAGTAAGGATTTCTCTGAATACCCTACTCCCTCCTGCTTTATTTTCTCTCTATAAAATTAATTCTCATTTAGCATACTACATGTTCTGATGGTTTATTCTCTCTCCCTCTGCATCCCACTAGAATGCAAGTTCCACGAGGGCAGAGCTTTGTGTCTGTTTTGTTCACTGCTATGTCACTAATTATTAGCACAAATTAAATACTCAAGAAGTATCTGTTGATTGAGTCATCAGATGTAGAAAAAAAGGAAGAAAAATTCTCACTCTAAGAAGTATAGAAAATAAAGCAAACTGAAAGAGACATTAAGGTATGTCAAATATTTTTAAAGATAATGAAAAGATTAGATTTCACAGGGTAAAAAATGGACTAGTTTACACATAACAAAATAACTTTTATATTTACAATAGCATCGGTACAATTTCTGAATATGCAAATGTTATCTTTGAAATTATAATGATAACACCTAATGCATATGTTTTTTTTATCAACTACTGGCAACTATTGAAGCATTTAAAAGCATTTTTAAAGAAACTAATTTAACCTGAGAAAGGTGAGATGGGAAAACCGAGGCATAAAAGTGAAGGACCTTGCCCCAAATTATTCATCCATCAGGTGGTAAAGACAGGATTCAGCCCCCGGCAGTCTGTCTCCTGACCACTATTCTGTTCTGATTCTACCTATTAATACTTTTATTTACCAATTGTATTATGCTTTCTCTGGCCACGCCCCTCCTTGAGACTTACTTTTCTGTATCTATAACATGGAAGGTGTGGGGTTAGGCTACTTAGTGTGCTGAATTTTGTAAAGCGAATGGTGTTTACAAGGTCTGCCAGTGGTCAAACTGCCAAGTCCTGGGGAATGTCGTCTGTGCATTTTGAAAACTAAAAAGAAAAGATTAGAATTTGACCTCGGGAATCCCAGCGGCTATTTAGTGAAAACCCACAAAGCACCGTTAATCTCCGAAAAAATGAATTCTCCCAAATACAGGCAACACAGATCAGCACTCACGAGCGCGGTGATTTGAGACGCTCAGGTGAAACCTGGTTGAAGCTCTGAGTTGAGCCATAGAGCTTCTGGGATGCGATGGGTTGAGACCTCCCTCCTGTGGTCACAATGTGAAACTACAGATGCAAGCCGAATCCCTCAGTGGCTGGGAGAAACTCAAGTATTCATATTTTCTTGTTTCCTTCCAATCACTCTGTCCTCACAGTGTCCTCTTCTAAGGCCCTTGAAGAGACTCTGGCCATGCCAATATGTTTCTAGAGAATACTCATTCATTTTCTAAACTGGCTACAGGACAAGGTGAAAATTCCTCAGAAAGCACAGCGTTGCTAGCACTTCATGATCTGGGGCCAGCTTACCTTGACACCCTTGGCTCCACCTACTGGCGTTTTCCTATTTCCTATGCATGCAAGGCACACTTACCACTTTGGGCTTCTGCATGTATGATCCTGCAGTCTGGAATGCCTATGCATCCCTCTGTACTAGAAGTAATCTCCATAATCTTTGAAAACTCAGCTAAAATAATTCTTGTGATCCTTGTATCTCTCTCTGCCACTAAGAGCCAGAGTTATTTTGGGAGGAATGCAATGCTTCCTTTGGCCTTGCCTCTCCCAGACTCTTGGACTGTGCACCCCACTAGAAAGCTGGTACCCCTTGTTTTCAAACGTTCTTAATTGCGTTTTGAAAACATTGACTATAGTTCTGGCACCCTTATTTGCCACCTTGGTGACTGAAACATCCTCTTAAATGGTTTCCCTGCCTTCATTCTTTTCTCCTTCAATCATTCTGTAAGCAGTTGTGAGCGGGGTATGTCCCAAACCTGATATTATTACGCCACTATTTTACATGAAATTCCATCCATCATTTGCCGGAACGTCTTGATTATGCACATCTACTAGTAAAATACTACCTTTCAGAATGCACCCACAACATAGAT